GAATACATTCACTTTGTACTCCCCCCTCTTTCCAATCTGATATCCAGTCTTTCATTACCTAAATTTTTTGGTACCCTCATCACCTTGTTTTTTTCTGATATTCACTTTTAATGTCCTTCTTTAACATACAATCCCAAAATTCATCCACCAACTTTTGCAACTTTTCTTCGGAATCTCCTGAAAAGCAGTCATCAGCTAAAAACAACTGTTACTACTCCCACTTTGTATTAGATTCTATATATTTTAATTCCACACCTCTTCTCAACACTCTAGCATTTACTTCTTTTACAACCACCCTACTAATATGTTAAACAACCATGGTGATATCCCACATCCTTGTCTAAGGCCTACTGGAAAATAATCTTCCTCTCTCCTTCATACCCTCACTATCATATAAATTTTTAAATGCTTTCAGTACCTTAGCACCTATTCCATACACTTACAACATATGCCACATTGCTTCCCTATCCACTCTATCATATGCCTTTTCAAAATCTATATATGCAACAAAAACTTCCTTACACTTATCTAAATAATGTTCACTTATATGCTTCAATGTAAACACTTGGCCTGCCCACATACATACAGTACTTACTTACTTACATAAAAAAAAAATATATATATTATATATATATTATATATATATATATATATATATATATATATATATAATATATATATATATATATATATATATACACAGTGGTCCCTCGCTTTTCGTAGTTCTCGGCAATCGCAAATTTTGCCAATCATAGGGGTATTTTCGTATAAACATGGACTCGCTTTTCATAGGTTGACTCGCGAATAGTAGTTCGTCTGGGACACGTACGCACGGTGTGAGCCGGGGCGGCCTCCCTACCCAGCCAGTCTGGCATTGTTTACCAGTGAGTGAAGGTCCTCTCAAGTGCTCCTACGAAATATTTCATAATATTCCACTCATTTTAGTGCTTGCAATTACTAAATAAGCTACCATGGCTCCAAAGAAAGCTCCTAGTGCCAAGCCTGTGGCAAAGAAGGTGAGAAATATGTACAGTGACAAAGTCTTGGGCCATTTTCGGGAAGTGTTAAAGAGACGCCAGAAACAGAGCTCTCTCCACAGTTACTTTGTGAGACAGGACTAGAGTGACTCTCAAGGTGGTCCTAGTGGCATTAAGAAACAGAGAAGAGAAGCAACCCCAGAGAAGCAATTGGTACCTGAGGTGTTGCTGGAAGGGGATTCCCCTTCCAAACTGTAAACAATCCAATCTCTCTCCTCTTCCAGTCTCCCATACACTAAGAAGAATCTCCAATAAAGGTAAGTGTTATGCTGCTAATGTTTCATTCATCATTTCCCATTGTATTGTTTATGTACTATATGTATATTTCACGTAAAAAATTTTTTTGTTTTAATACCTCTGGGTGTCAGGAACGGATTAATTGTACAGTGGACCCCCGGTTAACGATTTTAATCCGTGCAAGAGGGGTAATTGTTATGCGAAATAATCGTTATGTGAATGAATTTTCCCCATAAGAAATAATGGAAATAAAATTAATCCGTGCAAGACACCCAAAAGTATGAAAAAAAAAATTTTACCACATGAAATATACATTTTCCCACACACAAAGAGAAGGATACATGCACAATAGTAGAGTAGTACATGCACAGTATATATTGTGCATGTACTAGTCTACTAAATGAAGAATAAATGACACTTACCTTTATTGAAGATGCAGCAATGACTGATGAGACACTGTGTCCTGGGAGTGCCTTTTCCTCCTGAGTACTGTAGGTCCTGTTTGGCATTTTCTTCCAGAACAGGCCTTATCACACTGTGTATGCCACTACGATTCTTAAATCTCTCAAACCAACCTTTGCTGGCTTTAAATTCACCAATATGAGCACTAGTTCCAGGCATTTTTCCCTGTTCACCTGGGTGTTAGTCGACTTGTGTGGGTTGCATCCTGGGAGACAAGATTAAGGACCCCAATGGAAATAAGTTAGACAGTCTTCGATGACACTGACTTTTTTGGGTTATCCTGGGTGGCAAATCCTCTGGGGTTAATTGTTTCTTGGTATTCTCAATAAGCCACACCAACAACGGTGCTACAGCAGCAGCAGCAGCTGACAGTGCAGCAGCAGCAGCAGCTGACAGTGCAGCAGCAGCAGCAGCTGTCACCACCAATAGTAGCGATGGTTGATTGGGGTTTATTATACAACCTGGCCAGCTCGGAGACATGCACTCCACTTTCATACTTATCAATGATCTTTTTCTTCATCTCTATTGTAATTCTCACCCTTATTGCTGTAGGGTTGGCACTAGAAGCTTTCTTGGGGCCCATGGTCACTTATTTTCCAGAAAAAGCACCGAAAACACTGTAATAATACGAAATATTCCGATTGTATGCTTGGATGTTACCGCGGAGGCTGGCTGGTAAACAATGCCACCGGCGGAACATGTGAGCGTGGCTCAGGCCGCACATTGGACGCGTCTCGGACGAAAATCGGTAAGCGGGTTTTTAAGCGGTATGTGAGGCAAAATTTTTGCAATTAAAGTAAGCGGTATGCGAAATAATCGCTATGTGATGCCATCGTTATGCGGGGGTCCACTGTATTTACATTATTTCTTATGGGGAAAATTTATTCGCAAATCGTAAATTTCGTTTATAGTAACGGCTCCAGGAACGGATTAATTACGAAAAACGAGGGACCACTGTATTATATATATATACACACATGTATACATATATACAAGACAGTGATTATGTGTGAATGATGGTGAAAGTGCTTTCTTTTTAGGGTCACCCTGCCTCTGTGGGAGACAGCCAGCACGTTAAAAAAACCTATGTACATACGTACATATATGTAGGTATACCTATATACATACATGATATACATATATCTATACATATAAGCATGTTGTAAAAGACAATTAAAACACTGGGAGCAAGGGGCCAGTAACCCTTTCTCCTGTATAAATTACAAAAAAAAAAAAAAAAAGATGTTTGGATGTGCATGGATGTAGCGCAAATGATACTGTCAGTGTTATGAATGAAAATAAGCTGAATGTCCTGGCTCTAAGCTAAATAAAGCAGAAGGGAGCAGGAGAGTTTCAGTAGGGAGAAATAAATGGGATTAGGTCAGGGGTGTCTGAGAGTTAGAACTAAGAAAGGAGTAGCAATAATGTTGAAGGATCAGTTATGGTAGGAAAAGAGGGAATATTAATAGATAAATTCAAGAATTATGTGGGGCAAAATAAGGGTTGGAAGCAAAAAGTGAGTTATACTAAGTGTTTATGCACTTGGAGAAGAGGAATGCAGAGGAGAGAGATTTAGAAAGATGTTAAGTGAGTGCTCAGGGAGTTTTAAACTAAGTGAAAAAGTAATTGTGATGGGAGACCTAAATGCTCAAGTATGAGAAACTGCTGTAGAGGGCACAGTACGTAAGTTTGGGAGGTCCACGATAAATAATAATGGGGTAAGACTTCTGGATGTGCATATTTATAGAGGGCAACAAATATCAGATCATTATTTAATTGTAGCTACAGTAAAAGGTAAATGTGGTACAAGTAGATTGGCATCAGTGAGTAAGACAGAAATGAAAGTTTATAAACTAAAGGAGGAGAGTGTTAGGGAAAGATATAAGCAACTATTAGGAAAAAGATAGGGTAGCGAGAATATAAGTAATGAGGTTGAAGAAGTATGGCGTAGATTTAAGAATGGAGTGTTAGAGTGTACAGCAGAAATTTGTGGATATAGAAGGGTGTGCTGAAGGGAAGAGGAGTGATTGGTTGACTGAGGTAAAGAAGAAAAAGTCAGCAAATGAGTTTTTTTTTTTACAAAGCAATGTGATATAAGGAGAGTGGAGTAAATGGAGAGTAAAAGAGTACTTAAGGAGTGTAAAAGTAGAATGAATGAGAGAGTAAATTAGGTTCTGTCAACAAATTTTGATGAGAATGAGAAAAAGGTTTGGGGTGAAATTAATAGGTTGAGAAAGCCTAAGGAATGAATGGATTTGACAGTTAAAAACAAAATACAGAGTTGAAGGAGCTGTGAAGATGGCAGGAATATTTATAGATGGGATTGTAAAAGAAGCAAGTGCCAGGGTGTTGGAGAGAAGTGCCATTAAAATATAAATAATTTAATACAAAGTGGAAGTCATCACAACTGTTTTTTTCTGATGACTATATGATTTTAGGAGATTCTGAAGAGAAGTCGAAAAGTTTGGTGGACTAATTTGGGAAGGCATGTAGAGGAAATTAAAAGTCAACAGAGGAAAGAGGAAGGTGATAAACTTAACAAACGAGTTAGGTAATGAAAGACTGGATATCAGATTGGAAGGAGGAAGTATAGATAAATAGAATATATTCAGATATATGGGAGTGGACTTGTCAGCAGATGGGTATATGAAACAAGAGGTTAACAACAGAACTGATGAAGGCAAAAAGGTGGGTGGTGCACTGAAGTATCTGTGGAGACAAAGTGTTATCCACTGAAACACGGAGGGTAATTTATGAGAGTATAGTGGTACCATCACTCTTATATAGGTGTGAAGCATGGGTAGTGAATGTTGCAGCAAGGAGAAGGCTGGAAGCAGTGGAGATGTGTCTGAGGGAAAAGTGTGGCATATATATTATGCAGAGAATTCGTAGTTTGGAAATTAGGAGGAGGTGCAGTTACTAAAATTATAAGTCAGAGAGCTGAGGAGGGGTTGTTGAGGTGGTTTGGTCATTTAGAGGAAGGAGCAAAATAAGATGATTTGGAGAATGTATTAATCTGTAGTGGGGAAAAGGCAGGGTAGGGGTTGCCCTAGGAAAGGATGGAGGGAGGGGATAAAGGTGGTTTTGTGTGCAAGGGGTTTGGACATACAGTAGGCATGTGTGAACATGTTAGATAGGAGTGAAGAAGAATGGTTTTTGGGACTTGACATGCTGTTGGAGTGTGAGCAAGGTAATATTTTGTGAAGGGATTCAGGGAAACTGGTTAGCCAGATGAGTCCTGGAGGTGGGAAATAAAGGAGGGGTGTAGGATATGTGACATCTAAACTGACATATCTGTGTGCCTCTGGCAACACAGTGATAGTGTGAATGATGGTGAAAGTTTTTTTTTTTTTTTTTTGGGTCACCCTACCTCAGTGGGAGACAGCTGGCATGTTAAAAAAAATTATATATCATACATACACACACGCACACACACACACACCATAAAATAATAGATGTATACATCAATAAACGAAGAAAATCTTTTACTGAAATGGCTCAGTGAAAATAAATTCAATTGAAAGTTGTATAAAGCAAATGGAACAATATAAAACACATCACATAACAATGTACAATGTATACTATGACATGATGAAATAATGTCTATCATAATAAATCAAATGAAATGTAAGTGATGACCTACAGCTAACCTGTTTAATGTAAAGTAAAATGGAAATAAAGTATAAGACATCAAACTGCTTGATAATATAACAAACTTGTGCAAGTAGGTAAAGCATAAAAGCATGTACTGTAGCATATATGTAAACACTTAAGAATGGTGATGCAAAACACAATGACTGGGAATGATGGAAAATGGAATGATGGGAATGCAGTACCACACTTCTGCACTCCATGACTAGATCAAATGGACCCATTCTACCAGGTCTCGGTGAACTACAATTCCCGACCAAGGCAATAACAATTGGTACAAATCTTCATCTTGTGGGACATCAGGTGCTAATGGACTTAATTCAAGCGTATCAAGTATTTTATACATACAGTATCTACATTACAAGAGAATTTGAAGTGAGGTACGCTTAAAAAAATTTAACGTGAAAGGCAATGTCCAGCAAGATCAAATTTCCTGCCAATAAGATCCCGGATACCCGAGATGTCAGTTTAGTTCACGTAAGTATACTGCAGAGCATAAATTTCAAATACATTTGAAAACTCCTAATTTTGCTGAATATAAACAACAATGTCAAATGTGGCAAGAAGAGAAACAACAGAGATAAAGACTAAGAGCAGCTCAAACATATGCAAGTACATAAAAAGAGTACATTAGTTCATGTTTGGGTTCAGCCTTGAGTTCTTGTGTGCAGTGCATTGGTCTGATTTTCCACTATACAAAGTGTATATCATATAGTTCTTGTACTTAAATGTGTTACTAATTGTAATTCTCATAATTCTAGCAAACCACAGTCAAAATTCTAAAAATGTTGCCAAATATAGAAAACAATAAAAAGGGAGCAATACAAAAACTGGGCATGCACAGGAACAGATGCATACCAAAATTTATACGTACAAAACAGAAAATACAAATGCTGTTAAAACCAATACTTTAAGAAAACCCTGCTATAAGCAAGTATAACTCAAGGCAAGTTTGCATTTAAAATCAATGAGAATATAAATACAACACACAAATTACTTATTACACTTCCCTCACTATCTTACTGAACAGGAATGTAAGAATGTATTCATGACACTTTGATCAAGATTGTTAAGTGTTAACACCAACACTATTTTGTATGCAATTCTTTTAAAGCTAATGAGCAGAATAATCGTATTCCCTGTTTACATTAATAATGCCTAGGTTAATTTCCTCATTAAAATTTAAGAAAATAAATGTTGAAAGTCAATGCACATTTTTTTTTCAACAAGTTGGCCATCTCCCACCTAGGCAGGGTGACCCAAAAAGAAAGAAAATCCCCAAAACGAAAATACTTTCATCATCATTCAGCACTTTCGCCTCACTCATACATAATCACTGTTTTTGCAGAGGTGCCCAGATATGTATAACAGTTTAGAAGCATCTATAAAAATACAATATAAAAAGTGACCTAAAGTAATATAATAAACTCCCTATAGAATATAATATCAGGGCCCCAATTATATATATACCGTCCTATTACACATCTCTCCAAACTGCCAATATCCCAAACCCCTCCTTTAAAGTGCAGGCATTGTACTTCCCATTTCCAGAACTCAAGTCTGGCTATACAAAAATAACCAGTCTCCCTGAATCCCTTCACTAAATATTACCCTGCTCACACTCCAACAGCTCGTCAGGTCCAAAAACCACTCTTCTCCATTCACTCCTATCTAACACACTCATGTATGCTTGCTGGAAGTCCAAGCCCCTTGCCCACAAAACCTCCTTTACCCTCTCCCTCCAACCTTTTTGAGGACGACCCCTACCCTGCCTTCCTTCCCATACAGATTTATACGCTCTCCATGTCAACATAATTGAGTCCTGGAAATGAGAAGTACAATGCCTGGACTTTAAAGGAGAGGTTTGGGATGTTGGCAGTTTGGAGGGACGTCTAAACTGTCGTATCTAAGTGCCTCTGCAGAGAGTGATTATGTCTGAGTGATGGTGAAAATGTTGAATAATGATGAAAGTTTTTTTCTTTCTTTTTGGGTCACCCTGCCTTGGTGGGAAACGGCTGACGTGTTAAAAAAAAAAAAAAATTAGCTAGTCAAACCAAGTCACACTTCAACTTAGCCATTTTCATTTTCACAATGTGAACAATTCATGGGATGTCTGTCTTAATATAAGCAGTAGACATTATATTATTTGCCAGGTTTTCCTACATGATACACTTTAACTCATAGTGTTTGCTACACAACTCAGCCTTTTCCAGACAATTTATATGACTGATCATTTATACACCAGCTACTGCATACTGTGTGTACATACACTACCCACCCCCACACAAATTACATTGTGTCAGCCCCCTTCCCCACCCATGGTAAATTTAGTTCCAAGTTCTTCACAAAATACGTCCCACGATTTTTTTTACTAATCTGCTGCAATTCAAAAGATATCCTTCCAATTCAAATATTTGTATCTAGACTCTACCATAAGTCTGATTTTTTTTTTTAATTCATCAATACTTCAATGAAGTGGAAAAGAATCCATCCTTCGTAAGCCATGTGTGTCATAAGAGGTGACTAAAATGCCAGTAGCAAGAGGCTTGTAACCCTTCTGTATAATTTAATAAATGCAAAAGGAAAAACTTGTTTCTTCTTTTACAGGTCACCCTGCCTTGGTGGGAGACAGCCAGTGTTCAAAAATAAAACACATGAATATCATCATCATTAACCCTTAAACTGTCCAAACGTAGATCTACGTTTTTTCAACATTTGAAAGTATGTAAAAAAAAAAATAGATCTTCTTTTTGTTTTTTTACATTTGAAAACGTGTAAAAAAACTTTGATCTATGTTTTTTTTTGTTATATTTGAAAATATGCAAAAAAAACATTAATCTACTTTTGAAGCACTACACATGTGAACACAGATCTGTTTGGACAGTTTAAGGGTTAAATACCATGAATGTGTGTACTGTTGTATGTAGTGTAGTAGGAACTCTTCTTCAAGACAAAGGTTAGTCCTCAAAATTCATTCCACTTACTTACTGTCTTCCATAATTCTTAAAGGAATTTGTTTTTCAATATAACAAAAAAATTACCCTGCCTGTCACTATAAAATGAGCATCTCACTCAAAGATTTGTACTGCATATATAGTATTATTATTATTATTATTATAATCAAAAAGAAGCGCTAAGCCACAAGGGCTAACATATATAGTAGAATGCTGCATGTGCAATATTTAATCAGTGCAAAAGTATGCCATTATTTGTCGTCACTCTTAAGTTTTTATATTTAGGAATTAATTATTTAAAATCAGAGAAACTTAAATCATTAATTGCTTTAACAAGAATGAAATTAACAAAATACGCCAACATACTTTGATTAATGAAGGTTTTAAGCCTCACTCTCATGCAAAGATTTCTGCGAGGCTACAACTAATTTATTTCATTCATAAATCAAGGGTATATTTTGGGAAACTTTAAGCTAGAGGAATTAAAGGATAATCTTATGATTGAGAATACACACTAATTTCCAACTACCAATAACACAAAATTTTGTGGAAATTGACTGGTTAATACACTGTGTTTTTACTCCATCCAAAGAGACCCTTTTCAGTTCTGCTGAAGGGGGTCTCAGACTGATGCTGAAATATATAGAACTGTTTTACCCTTTTCCTTTTTTAGTTTTTAGTCCAAGGGTTTCCCACTTTTCATCCATGTTTATAACACTTTAATCCAAGTAAATCCAGTTGCATATATTCCACCATCCTCAAAATTATGGTAGCTTGAAATATAATTATCTTCATCAGTAAAAATGATTGATTACACTATTAATTCTCTTTCATCTACAAAACAGATTCTTGCCTTTGAATCTGCTACACAAAAAATATTTTTGTCTTTTTACCTCTTAAATGTACAATCATTGCTCAATAAAGGCATTAACCTCCTAGTGAATTTTCCATATTTTCTCAAGCAAGATCATTTTAAATTATTATAATCAGGTTTACATTAATTTGGTATGAGGTAGATTGTTTGAATACGTACTGTATTATTCTTGCCACCCAACTTTAGCTTCATCTTACCTTGGTCATACACATGACAAGTTGATCACACGTACAAAAAATACTACTCTTAGAACTTTGGCAACATTTTTAAAATATATGAAAATTTGCTATGATAGCTGACTATGAAATAATTATCACTGGAAGTGTTTAATTATTATGTTACAGTTTCATCTAAAGCACTGAAAACTTTCAAAATTAAACTAATTATTTTTCCAAGCAAAGTACCTATGAATTTAAACTTTACAGTAATATAATATTTTTGCATAAATATATTTGAAAAATAGTAGATTTTAACACCAATAGTAGGATGCCTGTACACAAAGACTCAATGCTAAACAATGTCAGTCCTAATCCTCTCCAGTAGCACCAAGTCTCTATAAAGTCGCCAGGATCAGCACAGGGTAGCCATACCTTGATAATCCAACACTAAAAATTAATACTTCCATGAAGTTAGGAACTACTTTTTGAAATTGCTTTTAGCCAGGTTTTGTCTTTATGATAAACTAAATAACTAATTCCATTTCTTATCGTCATGGGTGAAAACAAGACTTGCTCTAACATCCATTAGTGTGTTGGATTAAAGAGGCTTGACTGTATTGCCTTTAGGTGTATGCAGTTGCAGCTAGGTGATACCCAGAGGAAATACTTAGTTGGCACTTTGAGGGGCATTTCCAAAAGCAGTGGAAATATAAAAGCAAGTCTTTGGCCCAACTACTCATTTACTGAACAAGTGTTATGACATAATTTAGTATGTTCTTTGTTTTTTAAATTTAGATGTTTTCTCACTTTATACTAATATAGAAAAATAGTTAAAAATCCCAATAATGAAAATGATATTTCTTCCTTAAGTTTATGGTGTTCCCTTCCAATGAATTGTTTGTGCATGTGAGAGAGTATAAAGTCATACTTATTAAATATATGTAGCCATACACTATCAAGATAAATTTAAACTTTTCCTGTCTTATGAGTTTGTTTATACAGCATCAACCTCATTCCTAAATGAACCAAAGATGTCAAGTGTCACTGTCATAAAGCAAAAGGCACTAAATTTAGCCTGAGCTTTCTGCAGTCAAAACACTGGCCTGTTTCATAAAGACACTGAACACATTGTAATACCAAACCAATGCCCAGATTTTCCATATTTTCATATGGCATTTCAAAAACAAAGCCTTTATATTTCCTTCATACTTTTGGCCTTTGATATACATGAAAATCTGAATAAAGAGCAGAATAACCACAACAATGGAATGCAGTCCAGAAGGCAACTTGTAGAGAATTAAATGGATATAATATGCACTTAAAATGCAGATACTTCTGCTCTGTTCAATAATGTCATTTTCAATTAATTAGATTTAAAAAGGAAAATGATGGCTGTAAATCCTGAAAGACACTGAGAAATCCTTAATGACTATTTTAACATCTAAATGTGAAATACATTTCTATAATATAACAACATACATACACAAACATAACTTATAAATGATACTAAATAGACAGGCCAGAGAATACCCAAGCAAAATTTTAGAATACTAATATTCTAATATTTCAATGATATTAAATAACAAAAGTCAATAGAAAAAGAAACAACTAAACACTAGTCTGCTTTAAATTTTCCTGTCTATTTAGAGAGAGATTAGAAATGGCTTTTACTATTACAACAAATAAACAAGTCAATAAGTATTGAAATCAGAAAGTTGAAGCCTCAAATAGTGATGCCACATGGTTTGTGTTCAGAGTTGTGAACAGGAAAACAAGCACTGCATTACGGGGCTGTGTTAGGTGTTATCATAAGGAAATCAAGCCTCACCATAAACTACTTACGGCTTCTATTTCCTGACTTCAACGCACTCTTCGACAATTGCACACGATCCATTCTGGAAGTATCTGCATGTGCAAACACTTCCACATCACACACACAGTAAACTACAGTCAATGTTAGGTCGTCATACAATCAATTAGCTGTTGGCAAAGCTGTGTATATTGGTCCTCATCTCCAGACACTCTGCGCATCTTGAGGGCACGAGAGTCTGCCGCAGACCCTTCGTGCACCTCCAAGTCCACCTGGGCTCCTGTTGGGTCCCTTATAGAAAGGCCACAGTCCCGAACTCCTTCTCGGACAATTGAAGGAGCTCGCCTCTCAAGTATATGCATTATACTACCTACTAATTCTTCCTGTGCCATACCTGACCACTTAGTTGGAAGGGTCAATAAGAAAGAGCCACTTCCTGTTTTAGGCAACTCCAATTCTATGACGCCACGCTCCACTAAGGGCAACTGATCCCCTGAAGGACTAATGTCTGTCATTTCTGTGTCACTTTCACCTGTTCCTCCATTATGGAATGGAGGAAAACTATGTCTAAACTCCATGCTGGTAATAAGCATGTGGTTCCGTGGGGTTCCTGTAATGGCATTTTGTCGCACTAAATTTCGTTCATTACGAGCTCTATGGACATTGTTGTTGTCCGTTGTTGGGTGTCTACGCGAAGATGCAAAAAACCCAGCCGTACCCCTTGTTATGGATGGTCCTTGAGTGTCATACTGACCAACACATGGTAATGGCGCAGAGTCTAAGCTTAGGCCTTTCGATAACCTTTGAGGAGAAAGATGAGGAAACAAAGTAATGTGGTCAGAAGCCGGAGGTGAAGGAAAGGGCGAAGAGTCCATGTCATCTGACACATCTGGCGAAGAGTCTGATGAGGAACCAATAATCACCTGGCCCCCACTCTCATCAGTTATAGAGATTTGGGGGTTCTGAGTGAAGGTGTGTGTGCTCCGAGGTATCTGGTGGGAAATGTGGCATCCTCCTAGAGGCTCCTCTCGAATACTGTCCAGTGCAAGAGGTGGAGGTGAGGGCCCAGGCCGTGGTATGAGGCCTGGGGGAGGTGGTGAGAGGGGTGCACCTGGATTTAACAAAGATACTGGAGATGAAGGCTGAGGAGACAACACTAGAGGAGGTGACTGGCGGTGTGATGGGCTGCGAAGCCCAGCAGGCGAGGACGGGGGATGGAGTTGCAGCCGACTCAAACTGAGAGCTGTACCTTCTATGCTACTCCCACTGTGGTGTAACGGGGAACCTGCAATAAGGCATTAAAAATATAATTTGCACTGCTCATCAAGAAAAAAACAATACAGACTTTGCCTAGAAAATTTTAATTTATTATTATTCATGATGTGAGATATAGACAATTGCTAATATGGGGAATGGAAAGACAGGCAAGGGTGACCCAAATAGAAAGAAAAAACTTTCATTATCATTCAACACTTTCACAGTCACTGACACATATTTACTGTCTTTGCAGAGTTGCTATGACACGACAGCCAATATTCCAAACCCCTCCTTTAAAGTGCAGGCATTGTACTTCCTATTTCCAGGACTCAAGTCTGGCTAACCTCTTTCCATGAATCCCTTCACACAATATCACCCTGCTCAAACTCCAACAGCACATCAGGTCCCAAAAACTATTTGTCTCCATTCACTCCTATTTAACACACTCACGCAAGCTTGCTGGAAGTCCAAGCCCCTAGCCCACAAAACCTTCTTTATCCCCTCCCTCCAACTTTTTCGGGGATGACCCGTACCCCACCTTCCTTCTCCTACAGATTTATACACTCTCCAAGTCATTCTACTTTGATCCATTCTCTCTAAATGACCAAACCACCTCAACAGCCCCTCTTCAGCCCTCTGACTAATACTTTTATTAACGCCACACCTCCTCCTAATTTTCAGACTACGAATTCTCTGCATAATATTTACACCACACATTGCCCTTAGACAAGACATCTCCACTGCCTCTAGCCACCTCCTCGCTGCAGCATTTACAACCCACACTTCGCACCCATATAAGAGTGTTGGTACCACTATGCTTTCGTACATTCCCTTCTTTGCCTCCATGGGTAACATTCTTTGTCTCCACTGATACCTCAATGCATCTCGCAACTTCTTTTCCTTCATCAGTTCTACTGTTAACGTCATCCTTCATAAACCCATCTGCTGAAATTCAACCCCCAAATATCTGAAAACATTCACTTCTTTCATACTTCCTCTCTTCAATGTGATATCCAATTTTTCTTTATCTAAATTGTTTGATACCCTCATCGCCTTACTCTTATCTATGTTCACCTTCAACTTTCTACCTTTGCACACCCTCCCAAACTCGTTCACTAACCTTTGCAACTTTTCTTTAGAATCCCCCAAAAGAACAGTATCATCAGCAAAAAGTAACTGTGTCAACTCCCATTTTGTATTTGATTTCCCATAATTTAATCCCACCCCTCTCCCCAACACCCTAGCATTCACTTCTTTTACGACCCCATCTATAAATATGTTAAACATCCATGGTAACATTACACATCCCTGTTGAAGACCTACTTTTACTGGGAAGTAATCTCCCTCTCTCCTACACACCCTGACCTGAGCCTCACCATCCTCATAAAAATTCTTTACAGCATTTAGTAACTTACTACCTATTCCATAAACTTGCAAAATCTGCCACATTGCTCTCCTATCCACTCTACCATATGCCTTCTAAATCCATAAATGCAATGAAAACTTCCCTACCTTTATCTAAATACTGTTCACATATATGCTTCAATGTAAACACCTGATCTACACATCCCCTACCCATTCTAAAGCCTCCTTACTCATCTGCAATTCTGCTCTCTGTCTTACCTCTAATTCTTTCAATAATAATCCTACCATACACTTTACCTGATATACTCAGTAAACTTATTACCCTACAATTTTTACAATCTCTTTTGTCCCCCTTCCCTTTCTATAAAGGAATTATACATGCTCCCTGCCAATCCCTAGGTACCGTCCCCTCTTTAACACATTTATTAAACAAAAATACCAACCACTCCAACACTATCACCCCTTCCTGCTTTTAACATTTCTGCCATAATCCCATCAGTTTCAGCTGCTTTGCCCCCTTTCATTCTATGTAATGCCTCACACACCTCTCCCACACTCACAACCTGCTCTTCTTCACTCCTAAAAGAAATTATACCTTCGTGGCCAGTAAATGAAATTACTGTGTCCCTTTCTTCATCAACATTTAAAAGTTCTTCATAATATTCCTGCCATCTACCCAATACCTCCAGCTCCCCATCTACTAACTCCCTTACTCTATTTTTAACTGACAAATCCATTCATTCCTTAGGCTTTCTGAACTTGTTTATCTCACTCCCAAATTTTTTCTTATTCTCAACAAAATTTCTTGACAGTGCCTCTCCCACTCTACCATTTGCTCTACTTCTGCACTCTCTCACCATTCTCTTCACCTTTCTTTTACTCTCCATATACTCCATATATAGGTAGTAGGTTGGTAGACAGCAACCGCCCAGGGAGGTACTACCGTCCTGCCAAGTGAGTGTAAAACGAAAGCCTGTAATTGTTTTACATGATGGTAGGATTGCTGGTGTCCTTTTTTCTGTCTCATGAACATGCAAGATTTCAGGTACGTCTTGCTACTTCTACTTACACTTAGGTCACACTACACATACATGTACAAGCACATATATACACACCCCTCTGGGTTTTCTTCTATTTTCTTTCTAGTTCTTATTCTTGTTTATTTCCTCTTATCTCCATGGGGAAGTGGAACAGAATTCTTCCTCCGTAAGCCATGCGTGTTGTAAGAGGCGACTAAAATGCCGGGAGCAAGGGGCTAGTAACCTCTTTCCTGTATATATTACTAAATGTAAAAGGAGAAACTTTCGTTTTTCCTTTTGGGCCACCCCGCCTCGGTGGGATACGGCCGGTGTGTTGAAAGAAAGAAGATACTCCATATATTTTTTTTTTTTTTTATTATCACACCGGCCGATTCCCACCAAGGCAGGGTGGCCCGAAAAAGAAAAACTTTCACCATCATTCACTCCATCACTGTCTTGCCAGAAGGGTGCTTTACACTACAGTTTTTAAACTGCAACATTAACACCCCTCCTTCAGAGTGCAGGCACTGTACTTCCCATCTCCAGGACTCAAGTCCGGCCTGCCGGTTTCCCTGAATCCCTTCATAAATGTTACTTTGCTCACACTCCAACAGCACGTCAAGTATTAAAAACCATTTGTCTCCATTCACTCCTATCAAACACGCTCACACATGCCTGCTGGAAGTCCAAGCCCCTCGCACACAAAACCTCCTTACCCCCTCCCTCCAACCCTTCTAGGCCGACCCCTACCCGCCTTCCTTCCACTACAGACTGATACACTCTTGAGTCATTCTGTTCGTCCTTCTCTCACATGTCCGAACCACCTCAAACCCTTCTCAGCCCTCTGGACAACAGTATTGGTAATCCCGCACCTCCTCCTAATTCCAAACTACGATTCTTCTGCATTATATTCACACCACACATTGCCTCAGGCATGACTCTCACTGCCTCCAGCCTTCTCCTCGCTGCAACATTCATCACCCACGCTTCACACCCATTAAAGAGCGTGGTAAAACTATACTCTCATACATTCCCTCTTTGCCTCCAAGGACAAAGTTTCTTTGTCTCCACAGACTCCTAGTCACATCATCTGTTTTTCCCTCATCATTCTATGAATTGAACCTCTCTTCGTAGACCCATCGCTGAACGTCCACTCCCAAATATCTGAATACGTTCCTCCTCCATACTCTCTCCCTCCAATGATATTCAATCATGTCATCACAAAATCTTTTTGTTTCCTCTAACCTACCTTTCTGTATTACGTTATTCTCTTTTGCAACACACCATACCATATATAGGGTGTGCAAAAGAAGAAAATTGAAAGTGAATACAGGAAAGAGTAAGATTATGAGGATAACAAAAAGATTAGGTGATGAAAGATTGGATATCAGATTGGAGGGAGAGAGTATGGAGGAGGTGAATGTATTCAGATATTTGGGAGTGGATGTGTCAGCGGATGGGTCTATGAAAGATGAGGTGAATCGTAGAATTGATGAGGGGAAAAGGGTGAGTGGTGCACTTAGGAGTCTGTGGAGACAAAGAACTTTGTCTCTGGAGGCAAAGAGGGGAATGTATGAGAGTATAGTTTTACCAATGCTCTTATATGGGTGTGAAGCATGGGTGATGAATGTTGCAGCGAGGAGAAGGCTGGAGGCAGTGGAGATGTCATGTCCGAGAGCAATGTGTGGTGTGAATATAATGCAGAGAATTCGTAGTTTGGAAGTTAGGAGGAGGTGCGGGATTACCAAAACTGTTGTCCAGAGGGCTGAGGAAGGGTTGTTGAGGTGGTTCGGACATGTGGAGAGAATGGAGCGAAACAGAATAACTTCAAGAGTGCATCAGTCTGTAGTGGAAGGAAGGTGGGGTAGGGGTCGGCCTAGGAAAGGTTGGATGGAGGGGGTAAAGGAGGTTTTGTGTGCAAGGGGCTTGGACTTCCAGCAGGCATGCATGAGCGTGTTTGATAGGAGTGAATGGAGACAAATGGTTTTTAATACTTGACGTGCTGTTGGAGTGTGAGCAAAGTAACATTTATGAAGGGGTTCAGGGAAACCGGCAGGCCGAACTTGAGTCCTGGAGATGGGAAGTACAGTGCCTGCACTCTGAAGGAGGGGTGTTAATGTTGCAGTTTAAAAACTGTAGTGTAAAGCACCCTTCTGGCAAGACAGTGATGGAGTGAATGATGGTGAAAGTTTTTCTTTTTCGGGCCACCCTGCCTTGGTGGGAATCGGCCAGTGTGATAATAAAAAAAAAAAAAAAAAAAAAAAAAAAATACTCTGCCCGTCTTATAACACTTCTGCTTTGTAAAATCCTCTCATAAGCTACCTTTTTCTCTTTTATCACTTCTTTCCTCCTGCACCCACCCTCCTACAGCCACAAACTTCTGCACCACATTCTAAAACTGCATTTTTAAAACTATCCCCTCCCTCTTCAACCCCCTCCCCCACTACCCATACTTGCACTAGCCCACTTTTCTGCCAATAGTTGCTTATATCTCACCCTAACTTCCTCCTCCCTTAGTTTATAAACTTCCACCTCTCTCTTACTTACTGTTATCATTTTCCTTTTGTCCCATCTACCTCTTACTCTAACTGTAGCTACAACTAAATAATGATCCAATATATCCGTTGCCCCTCTATACACATGT